CATCCATTTCCACTTTTTTTCATTGCCCGTAACAAGCTCACTCCCCTTTGAGCAGTAACTTTCCCTTTCTTTCTCCTGGTCGCCTTTAGTGAACTTGAGTCTGTATGCATTTTCCTGTTCTATGCATGTTTCTTACTTTAATGTAAATGGGAAAAAAAAATACTTGGCTTTTGGTTTCTGTTTCACTCAGCATAGTGTTTGGTTTCAAGGTTTATCCAAGTGGTGGCATATATCAAGACTTCATTTCTCCATGACTAAATAATGTTCCATTGTATATGTATACTTGACTGCCATCCAGTCGAGCATGACTCATATTTACCCAATGAATAGAAGGCCTAAAGACTTTCTATCACCATCGTCATTTATCACAGTTCATAGGGTTTCCAGAGGCATGTTGTTTAGGAAGTGGATACCACTCCTACTTCCACATGTGTATATTATGTTCTCTTTATCCATCCACCTCTTGATGGATTCTTGGGTTATCTCTACCTTTTGTATCATGAGTAACACTGTGGTACATTACTATATAAGTGTGTTTGTATTCTTGCTTCCATTTCTTTTTTGTTTCTGTCAATTCTTTTGAGTATATCCCAGGAATGGAATTTGGTGCAATGATTCTCTGTATTTTTTCCATCATCTTCTAGTGCTTTCTGCATCATTCAGGATTTTGCCTTTGGAATTCTTCAGTATTGTAACTCAAGGCTTACCTTCTTTCATTCTGTCCCTTTGGCTTGAGAAATGCCAAGTGTGGTGTGTTCTCTTTTGGTTTTCTGACTCCAGGTCTTTGCACATTTTGTGCTATACTTTGATTTGTCCTCTTGAGCTGTGCTTTGAAATAAGCTTTTATAGATAGACGGACCTGCCTTTTCTCCCTGCGAGGTCTCCGGGATGAGGGTCCCCAGCTTTCCGAGTCCTTATTTTAACCTTAGTGGACAGTCCCTACTCCGTTTTGCCCTGTACACATAAGCAAATTATTCATACCAAGTAAATGCTTTTGCTTCATTTTTAGATAATTAAAGTTTGTGAAAAGCACAAACTTGAAACAACTCTTCTCTTAGTAAAAGCAGAAAGACTGGTGAGACAATTCCTGTGAATTAGATGGTTCCATCTGGGTATTCTTAAGTAGTTTGAAAGAGTTCTGATGTGTTGGTTACCAGTATGCTAGCAGTTTCAACCAAAGCCTAAACTGTGGTTATGTAAAATACGCCCATAAAGAAAGTCTTGTCAGAATCCACACTTCCCATGAACCTGCTCACAAAGATCCTCCTTCTCAGTTGCAGTTTTGTCTTATTTATGAAGAGAAACTTGCCTGCCAAGGAGCCAGAGTTAGCCAAGTGCAATCCTAATGGCAAAGTGCCCAGAAAACTGTTCCTGGTACCTTTCCATCAGAAGTCTTTCTTTACAGATTATAATTACTGGGTTTCTATGCAAGGCAATGACGGTTGTTACAAGGAGGGTAAGAATGAAGTGTCCTTAGGAAGTTGGAAACAGGACAATAGAAGAGTTGAATATATATGAGACTGGAGATGGGCAAAGCCACCTGAAGAGACAGAAGAACGGTACAGACATTTGGGCCATCCCCATGTCAAAAGAGATTACACCAGAAGGAGCATTGTGCCCTTTGAGTGTTCTGATCTTCTCTCCGTTACTGACTAGGACAGGACAGGTATCTCACACCACTCAGCTCGGGGCCTATCAGACACAGAACCTAGACCAAGAAGTGTTCCATACTTGCAGGCAGCTTTTGTGCACCAGCCATGCTTCATTCTTCTATTAGTTGGTGAATCTTGTTCCATTGTCTGTTGGGACATCTGTTTCTTGGTCTGTGTGCAGGTTCTGCATGAATACAGTTAAGTGTTCTGGAATTTCAGTTCTTCTCAATGTTACCTATAATTTATTATGATTTGAATAGTCAAAAAAACTCAAGTAAATAACTTCTTGATATTCTTTGCTTTCAGTCAAGAGTTACCTGACATGAGCAGTGATCTCTCTTGTGTCATGGCCTCTTCTGATTGCAGCTTGAATTTCTGTCAATGTACTGCTCCAGCCATTTTTTCATAATCTTCAGCAAAATTTTACCTGTATGTAATATCAGTGATATTACCAGTAATTTCCATATTCTGTTTGATCACCTTTTTTTTGTTTGTTTGTTTTTTAAATGGGCACAGAGATCTCTTACAGTCATTTGGCCAGATAACGGTCTTCTAAATGTCTAGACATAGACAAAAGAGAACATCTCTGGTTGCCTCTAGTTGTTGAAGCTCCTCAATTAATATTCTATCAATTCCTGGGGCCTTATTTTTTTGCCAGTGTCTTCAGTGTAGCTTGGACTTCTTCCTTAATCATCATTGGTACATGATCATATGGTACTTTCCAAAATTATTTCATTGTCAACCTGTTCTTTTGCGTACACTTTGTTTCCATGTGCAACTTGTCTGTCTTCTGATAAATCTCTGCATTTGTCAATATTTTTTCCCGTGGAATCTTTCAGTACTCCAGCCTGAAGCTTGCATTATTCAGTCTCCATCCACATGATTTAAGTAGAAACTACCTTCAGAATCTTTGCTCTTTTTAAGTTGTTAAGGTAGACTCACCTTTAAGGAGGCAGCTTATCTCCATGTCATATTTTTAGTGTCTTCCAACCTAAGAGATTCATCTTCTGGCCCTGTATCAGACAGTGTTCAGCTCTATTAGTAGGAGTTTTAAGGGCTCATTATTTCAGAAGTGGATGGCCAGTTCTTCATCTGTCTTTGTGAAAAAAACTCTGCTGAAACCTGTCCACCAGGGATGACTACTAATATTCCAAATACTAATGGCATAGCTTCCAACATCACAGCAACATGTGAACCACCATAGTTTGACAAACTAACATACAAGTGGTGGAAGAATTATTAAATAGATGGGTTTAAATAAAGTTTTCTCAACTATGATCCTTTAGTAGATAACTGTTGTAGGGATGCTGTCCTGTATTATATATTGTATTTTTTTTACAATCTACATGTTGTGTTCTTTCTCCATGTCTGTTCAGTCTGTATGCTGAGCAAATCATGTATGAAGGTAGACTCTGTGAAGAGGTATGTGGCATCAGGATTGGAGGAAGGTTCATGAACAACTTGCGCTATGCAGATAACACAACCTTGCTTGCTAAAAGTAAGGAGGACTTGAAGCTCTGCAGAGGATCAAAGACTACAGTCTTCGATATGGATTGCATCGCAACATCCAAAAGACAAAAATTCTCACCACTGGACCAATAGACAACATAATGATAATTGGAGAAAAGATTGAAGTTGTCCATGAGTTCATTTTCTTTTAATTCACAGTCAACACTCATGGTGAAAACTATTAAGAAATCAAAAGATGTATTGTGTTGGGAAAACTCTGCAGTCAAGGACCTCTCCAGAATGCTAAAGAACGACAGTATCAGTTTAAAGACTGGCGGACCTGATCCCAGCTGTGATTGTTTTCCATTTCTTCCTAAGTATCTGAACGTTGGACAGCAACGAAGGATGACAGAAGAGGAATTGATAGCTCTCAGTGGTAGTATAGGAGCAGAGGACTGGCTGTGCTGTGGACGGCCAAAGAACCAATGAGCCTGTCTGAGAAGTACAACCAGGGTATGTACACCGTAGAGCAAGGGTGGTGAAACTCTGTCTCAGATACTTTGGGCATGTTGTCAGGGTCCAGTGCTGGGAAAAATCATCATGTTGGGAATGACGGAGAGTCAGAGAAAGAGAAGTCGACCCTCAACAGAGTGGATTGACACTGACTGTAACACCGGGTTCAAGTGCGATCAGAGACGATGAGGACACTGCAGCAGAGGTCAGGCTTCAGATCTGTTCTTCATAAAGTCACTGTGAGTCCGTCTGCTCGATGGCACCTGACAATGACAAATGGGGTTCCTATGTGTGTGTCTTTAATGTATCACAAACTGGGCTGCTCCTTGGAGGCAAGGATTCTGAAGCTTCGTCTGACATACTTTGGACATGTTGCAAGGAGCGGCCAGTCCTTGGAGAGAGACGTCATGCTTGGGAGGGTGGAGGGACAGTGCAGGAGGGGAAGACCCTCAATGAGATGGATTGGTTTAGAGAATAGGGTAATGGGTGTAGGTGTTTAAGAGACAATAAGATTAGCTCAGGATAGAGCAGGGTTTAGGGCTGTTGCACACAGGCTCGCTGTGAGTTGCAGGTGATTCAATGGCACATAACAACTACTCTTTAATATTTTGCTGCTTTGCTTGTAATGAATAACCATTTAACATTTTCATTTCGTTTTTGGAAGCTGTTTATAAAGCACTTTCAGGCATGTTACCGCATTGGTCTTGGTGAAAAGCGTGTGAGGCAGGTCCCACGGAGAGCAAGCTTTTAGTTTCCGAATGGCTGTGTGACTGGTCCCGATGGAGAGAGGGGACGCAGAGCGCGGACACAGAGCGTGGACAGGAGGAAGCTCTGTGATGTCGCCCTCCTTGTACTGCAGGGACACCTCTGTTTTTGGACTCGTTGGGACTCTCTGACGAAGAGCTCAGTATGGTCGTGCTTATCATGGAGCCTGCCCTGGTGGTGCAGTGATTTCGCGTGCTTAGCTGCTACCTGAATGGTCAGTGGTTGGAATCCCACAGGCCCCATACAGTACGAGATGTTAGTCTGCTCTGTGAAGATAACACCTTTGACAGTGCTGTGGGACGTCCCCCTCTGTCACACGGGGTTCCGCTGAGCCAGAGCTATCTCGACAGCAGCACTGGGTTTGAATTTTTTAATAGTAATGTTTGATTGGCCAGCATTTCCTGCATCAAAATGCAGTTCTCTGTTTTGTGATTGGAAATACTACAGATTTAGAAAGGAAAAGACGGCTTTTAGCAGATCTGATTGACTCTGGCTTTCTGACCGTTGTTGTCAGGAGCTGAGCCTCATGGAGTTCTCATTCCCCTGGCACGTTCCTAGGTTTGCCCTTGACAGCGCTGTCTGCTGGGCAGCTTCCTGACTTCTGAATGCTCCCTCTTTCAGGGGAAAACCGAGGCCATCACAGTGGTGAAGCTGCTGAGCTGCTTTGATGACCTGGTGGCTGCAGGCACAGCCTCGGGCAGGGTGGCAGTGTTTCAGCTTGTGTCCTCATTGCCAGGAAGAAACAAGCAGGTGAGTGCTTGTCATTGGGAGGAGCCCAGGTGGCACAGTGCTTGCCAACCTAAAGCCCTGCTGGGAAGATCTGGTGGTGGGGTCCGTAGCAGGTAGTGCCACTAACGCAAAAGCTGGACTTGGCAGTGCAAACGCACCGTCAGCAACTAGAGGAATCGACAGCCTGAGAACCCCAGCAGAGGGTCAGCTGGAAGTTGGTTCCAACTACGTGGGGATTCGAGCAAGCAGACAGTTGTGCAGGAGGAGGACGAGGCGTCTGCTTCCTCGACAAGAGTCCCTGGGAGCCCTTCTCCTGTGCCTGTACGGTCTCTGGGCTGGAATTCAATCAATGACGGTGACTTTGGTGGTTTCATTTATTCACCGGTGCTGTAGCTTTTCGTTTCTCATCCAGTTCCTCAAGGGTTTGGAAACTAAAAATGCTCATCCTCCCTTGAAGATTATGTTCAGGAAAGTTAAGCATTGCTCTGTTAATAACATTTTGGTTCCTAGCAAAAAGTACATAAAAGTTATTTCCATTTTGCTGTATACTCTTGGTGCATTGTCTGTGGGGTTTGAAGGGGGAGAGAGTTTGGCTTATTGAAAGCACTGCTTGGACACACCAGCCCCTTCACAGAGAGGGAGGAGTAGTGTCACCTTGCTCTCCCAGCTTCATCCTTCTCACTTCCGTGTGTGTATTTTTATCGTAGCTTCGGAGATTTGATGTCACCGGAATTCACAAAAATAGCATCACAGCTCTGGCTTGGAGCCCCAATGGGATGAAGTTGTTCTCCGGGGATGACAGAGGGAAAATCGTCTATTCCTCTCTCGATCTAGACCAGGTAAAGTGGTTTTCAAAAATGGGCTTGGCGTTAACCTTCTCTGAGTTGGAAACATAGTCGTTTTGGTGAGCTGCATTCTTGCTCCCACTTCCTTTATCTGTATTGTTATTTGTAACATCTTTCTTTTTCTTGTTTTTTTAGTTTTGATTCTATATCGGTTTGCTTACACATTATGTTTCACACTGTTCTTCACCCTCATTGTGTAACATGTCTTTCAAGGATGTTTCTGATGTTTTCTGAGCTCCAGCTTCTGTGCCCAAAGAGTTGTTGGCCCGTTTCTCCTGGAACATTTCCTCTTTGCATTTTACTCTGATCTGTTGACATTCCTGAATCCTGGAAGTTTTTGTGGACTTGAGTTCAGACGTTTCCTAGTTGAAATTATGGCCAAAAGCCAGTGATTTGAGTGGGTGGAGCGCTCACCCCTGGCCCATAAGAGAACATCAGGTGAGAAAGGGTGTAGGTTGTTGTTTTCCACACCACCTGCTCTGAGCTGTGTGTTCTAGCTGTATGCCATCAGTCGAGAAACCTGGCTCAGGGAGACGTAGTCATTCACCCAGAATCTCAGGTGGACCCTGGTAGAGCTAAGGCTTAGATCAGGGTTCTGCTCCAAAGCCTGGGTCTTCTTCAATGCACACATTGCCTGGGACTTGTCCACTTGCCTAGATAGACTCAAAACCTGGACTGCAATTCTTTTCTCATTTGTAGCTTTCATTCCTAGCAACTTTCAAGCACTTGTTAGCTGTGAGCGATTAAATTCTTCTGATCCAAGGCTGATCCGTCTATTAAAAATGTTAACTAGCGGTGGTTCCATTTTTTTTCTCTCTGAATTCCTTCTAAACAAAACAAAAAGCAAAACCACTGTTGTTGAGTCAAATCCAACTGATGGCTTCCTACAGGGTAGATTATAGCTCAGCCGAGGGTTTCCTGGCTTGTAAATCTTGACGGAACAGGACCGCCACATTGGTGTCCTGAGGAGCAGCTGGCCGGTTTGAACCACTGACCTGATTGGCAGCTGAGCGCGTTTGTTCACTTAGCAGGGATCCAAACCCCTTACTGTCTTAAAAATGACTACGGAGCCCAACAGCCTATCTGTGCTGATTCATTTCAGTGTAGTGACATACTGTACTCATTGCTGCACTCCAAAATTCATGTTCAAATCCACCAGCTGCTCTGTGGGAGAAGGATAAGCAGTCTCCTCTCGTGCGATCGATGTCTGGTTTGACAGCACACACAGTAGCAACGACAGTGTACTCATTGTGGCTGTTGGAACCGACTCATGGTTGACCCTCCAGTAGGTTTCCAGAGACTAACTCACGTGAGGGGAGATTGCCTGTCTTGCTCCTTTGGAGCTGCTGGTAGGTTTGAACTGCCAGACCAGCACCGCCTTTGTGTTAGCTGCGAAACTCCCTATGTGTTGTGCCACTGACGCTCCCTAATATGATGGAGCGGGGCGGGGCGGGGCTGGGGGGGATCCCAGACAGATGTGTACGCGCACGTGTGTGTCTGTGTGTGTGAAAACATGGGATAAGGACAATCTCCAGTGTGATTTGCTGCCTCTGAAAACTTGCTGGAGGGTCAGCTATAAGTCAGTTACAACTTGATAGCACTCGACAACAATGATGAAAAAATAACTATTTAAAAACAATAACTGAGAAGCATGAAATTGTTTTACATTTTTGCAGATCTCTGTCTGGCTTCATATAAGACAACTGGGTTCTGTATTTGATCTGTTGCAATATTTTGTTTTCTTTGAAGAAAGCGTGAAAGATTGGGGACCTTTTCTACTATCTTACACTTGGAGCAGTGTGAATTTGTAGTCACCTGTGTTGGTCCTTGGGGAAGTTCTGGTTTACAGAGTAAATTTGAATCTTCCAAATGTTGATACATTTTCTTTTGCAATATAAAAAAATCACCTTTGCTAACATTGCTGTCTTTATGATTAGAAACATGTGTAACTATTGAGAAGCCAATAAGCCCACAGAGGATAGTAGTTTCCAGAATTCTAATCTTTACTTGAAAAGTTGAGAAGCAGCTGGTGGCCTCAGCCAGGGCCTTCAGATTTGCAGTGCAGCTTCTTGCCACCAGAGCTCCAATCTTTATTTGTAAGCTTTAATTTTATTATAGCAACAACTATCTCCAATTGTTTTCTTTGCAGTGACAGATGTACATTGTTCTTTTAGAAAATGTATGTTCCAAACAGCCAAGTTTGAATAATTACTGTGTTTCAAGTAAACTGGTGTTTGGTGGAAAAAGCAGCTGGTACAGCTCACATGATTAAACACAAGCTTCCCTTGAGGAACCGTAATGCTTAGGGGCCACGGGGCTGTGTGCCAGTCTCATTTTGTCACATAAAATAGAAGAATATAGAAAATGTGTTCTCAGGGGCAGAATTGAATAACATGTTTTCTTGCTTCATCAGAGACATTATTTTTGCAAAAATGCACACAACAAAACCACTTCAGTAATTCTCAGTGTGCAATCCCATGGCATTGTTCAAGTTGTATCTTTCTAAATCTCCTTTTTCCAGATTATCTCACTACTGTCACAAACTCTCTGTCCTCCTTAGCTTTTCATCTTGACTTGCTCGTGGTTATTGTCAGTTTGATCTCATTTGTTGTTGTTGTTGTTGTCAGGTGTAGTTTAATTGCCTGGGACTCATGGCGACTCTCTGGACGACGGAGCTGACCCTTGCCTTATCTGTGTCATCCTCCTCATCTCTGACGCCCTCGAGCCCATTGTCACAGTCACTGTATCATCTGTCTCGCTGAGGAGCTTCCCCTCATTCGCTGGCCCTCCACTTTCCAAGCTTGATGTCCTTTTCTCAGGACGGGCCCCCAGAGTTTCACTATCCTAGCATCAAAGGAGTACCCTGGCTGTACCTTTTCCAAGATTTATTGGTTTGTCACTTTGGCAGTCCATAGGATATTCAGGACCCTTCTGCAGTACCACAATTCAAAGGCATAGTCCTTCTTCTGTTATCCTTAGTACATTGTCCAGCTTTCAGCTGCATAGCAAGTAATTGAAAAGATTATGGTTTGGATCAGGTGCACCTTTGTCTTCACACTGACATCATTGCTCTTCAGCACTTTGGAAAAGTCCTTGACAGCAGACTTTCCCAATGCAGTATGTTGTTTTATTTCCTGGGCTACTGGTATCAAGGGTATTGATTGTGGATCCAAGCAAAATGAATTAATTGACAATTTCTGTCTCTCTCTCATCTATCATGATGATCTTTATTGGTCCAGTGGTGAAGATACTTGTTTCCTTGATGTTGAGATATAACCCGTATTTAAGGCTATATTCTTTGATCCTCTGCAGCAAGTATCTGAAGTCCTGTTCACTTTCAGTAAGCATTCAGTTATGTTATCTGCATAACACAGGTTGCTAATGAATCTTTCTTGTATCCTGATGCCACATTCTTCTTCATAAAGTCCAGCTTTTCACATGATTTGGTCAGCATACAGTTTGAGTAGATAAATAGAAAGGATACAGCCCTGCCAAAGCCATGCAGTGTTCTCTTGCTCTCTTAGAATCCCAGCATACTGGAAGAGACCCATATTTGTTTCCATTCCCAAGAAAGATGATCCAGCAGAATGTGGAAATTACCAAGCAATTTCATTAATATCACATGTAAGTAAAGTCCAAGTTGTGCCAAGAAATCTGGAGAACAACCGCTTGGCCAACTGACTGGAAGAGATCTATATTTGTTCCTATCCCAAAGAAAGGTGACCCAACAGAATGTGGAAACTACAGAACAATCTCACTGATT